GCAAATTTCAGAGTCTTTTGTTGTTGTTGTTGTTGGTCATGGGGCTTGAACTCTGAGCCTGGGTGCTGTCCCTCAGCTCTTCAGCTCAAGGCAAGCACTCTACCACTTGAGCCACAGCACCACTTCCGGTTTTCTAGTGGTTTATTGGAGATAAGAGTCTCACTGTCTTTCTTGCTCCAACCGTGATTCTCAGATTTCAGCCTCCTGAGTAGTTAGGCTTGAGCCACTGGCACCTGGCTAAATTTCAGAGTCTTTAACTTCATTTCCTGTATGGGAAGCAGAAAATGTTTCTATTTTTTCCCTACTTTAAATCAGTTATAGAAAAATAAATCCTTGCTAAAACTTAAAAATAAAAAGGATCAGAAATCTCTCTTACCTCACAAAGAATTTAGTGACTGCTTTCCTTGGAAAGTGATCACTTCTGGGGCTGGGGGAGAGTGATTAGAGGAGGTGGATTTGATTGGAATACATTAGATACATCTGTGAGTGGAAATGTCACAATGAAATTCCTACCTGTAAAACTGATGTAGGCCAACAAAGAAAAAAGTGGCTAAGCACCAGTGGCTCATGCCTGTAATCCTAGCTACACAAGAAGCTGAGATCTGAGGATTGCAGTTCAAAACCCACCAGGGAGAAAAGTTTATGAGACTCCCATCTTCAGTTAACCACCCAAAAGCTGGAAGTGGAGCTGGGGCTCAAGTGGAAGAGTGTTATCCTTGAGCAAAAGAAACTCTGGGACAGCACACGAGCCCTGAGTTCAAGCCCAAGGACTGGCAAGAAGAGAAAAGAAACAGACAAAGACAAGAAAGAGGAGTAAGACCACTAGTAAAAACGGAAGAGAAAGCTGGAATTGAAACCCCTTTGTATAACTACTTAATAAAAATGAATAGCTGAACACTGGTGGCTCACGCCTGTAATCCTAGCTACTCAGGAGGCTAAGGTCTGAGGATCATGGTTCAAAGCCAGCCCAGACAGGAAAGTCCATGAGACTCTTTATCTCCAATAAACCACTAGAAAACTGGCTGTGGCTCAAGGAGTAGAGCACTTGCCTTGAGCTGAAGAGCATAGGGACAGTGCCCAAGCCCAGAGTTCAAGCCCCATGACTGACAAAAAAAAAAAAAAAAAAAAGGAGAGAGAAAAGCTCTATTCTCTGGATTTTCCTCCTGAGATCTCACAAGGCCTAATCACATGTCTTTACTCAGATGCAAACTGGCTCAGTCTAATGGCTGGGGGGTGATGGTGAGCCACCGTTCCGGAGAGACTGAGGACACTTTCATTGCTGACCTTGTGGTGGGGCTCTGCACTGGACAGGTACTTGGGGCTTCCCTCTTAAGTATCTGACCCGGATTTCTTGGCATCCTCAGTGCTCTGGCTCTGGGTTGAATGCCATCACAGGCTGTTCTTTGGGTCCAGGCCTAACCCCGTCAGCCTTACCTCACCTCGGAATCCCTCTTTCTATCTCAGATTAAGACTGGTGCCCCCTGTCGTTCTGAGCGTCTGGCCAAATACAACCAACTCATGAGGTACAGCAGAGGGAGTGGCCTGGGCACTGGTGGGGGGAATGCAACTAGCAGGTGACAGTTCTGACTTGGTCTGTGTTCTAGGATTGAAGAGGCTCTTGGAGACAAGGCTGTCTTTGCTGGACGAAAGTTCCGTAACCCACAAGCCAAATGAGAAGTCGGAGAACCCAGGACTCCTGTGTGCAGTCCTTCAAGCCCTTCTTGGAAATAAACACTGGTGCCAAACAAGACCACTGTGTGCTCTTTTGTGGGAGGGACAGGCAAGGGTCTGGGCTGGGAAAGACAAGAGATGGACAGGTGCAGGAAAGAAGGGAGGGAGAGAACAGATGAGTAACCTACAAAGAGGAAGTGAGGGAGGCCGAGAGGAAGCGAGGTAGATCTAGAACAGAGAAGTTCACATTTTAGGAGGAGGCTGCAGTCTGTGAGATGAAGCTGGAAAGGTGCTGATGGAGGAACCAGATCTAAAGGGGCAGGAGAGGACAGAACAGAGCTGAGGGTCTGGCCACCACCAGCCTCAGGAGAGCTGGAGCAGGCCTGCCACTGTGTTGAAATAAATGGCCCAAGTATACAGTGGAGAGTGAAGGCTGCTCAGTCAGGCTCAGAATGAGTGCACTCTGAGTGTTTAGATCAGTGATAAGAGCAACTACAACTTCTCCAGAGCTTATGAGGCTCTGGAAGTGTTGTTTTTTGTTTTTAATTGTTGTTGGCTTTTTTTTTCTTTTGCTGGTCCTGGGGCTTGAACTCAGGGCCTGGGCACTGTCCCTGAGCTTCTTTTGCTCAAGTTTAGCACTACCACTTGAGCCACAGTGCCACTTCCTGCTTTTTCTAAGTAGTTTATGGGAGTTCAGAGTCTCAGGACTTTTCTGCCTGGTCTGGCTTCAAACTGAGATCCTTAGATCTCAGCTTCCTGAGTTGCTAGGATTATAGCAATGAGCCACCAGCACCTGGTTTAGAAGTATTTTTTTTTTGGGGGGGGGGGGGTCTGGTCGTGGGGCCTGAACTCTGGGCCTGGGTGCTGTCCCTCAGCTCTTCAGCTCAAGGCTAGTGCTCTACCACTTGAGCCACAGCACCACTTCCAGCTTTTCTTTTGCTTATGTGGTGCTGAGGAATCAAACCCAGGGCCTTATGAATGCAAGGCAAGTGCTCTACCATTGAGCCACCTTCCCAGCCCTAGAAGTATTCTTGATATTTGATATATATTGACCCATATAATCTTAGGAACAGTCCTGTCACAGTTACCTTTGTGTGTATGTATGTACCTGTACTGGGGCTTGAACTCTAGCCCTAGGTGCTATCCCTTGGCAGTAAGTTGGAGATAAGAGTCTCATTGACTTTCCTCCCTTGGCTGACTTTGAAACTCTGTCCTAAGTAGATAGGGCTATAGGGTTATAGGTGTGAGCCACCAGTGCCTGGTTCAGTTATTATTTTTACAGGTAGACACTGAGGCACAAAGTTAGAAACACACACCTCCAACTTAATCAGCCAGAGGCTTGGTTCAGCAGTATTATGTCAGCCTCACAATCATAAGGTCCTGAGTTCAAACCTCTCTGCCATCAAAAACAACAAGAAAAAAGACAAAACTCCCATGCAATATATATTTAAGCAGGGCCTGGTAGCTTACATCTGTAATCCAAGGTACTTGGAAGGTAGAAACAACAGTTTTAGGCCAGCCTAGATATAAAAGTTTGAGATTCCGCTGGGTGCTGGTGGCTCACACCTGTAATCCTAACAACTCAGGAGGCTGGGATCTAAGGATCACGCTTCAAAGCCAGCCTGGTCAGGAAAAGCCATGAAACTCTTATCTCTAATTAACCACTAGAACACCGGAAGTGGCGCTGTGGCTCAAGCGGTAGAGCGCTCTCCTGGAGCTGAAGAGTGCAGGGACAGCACCCAAGCCTACAATTCAAGCCCCATGACCGACAAAAAAAGAAAAAAAGTTTGAGATTCCATCTTATTCAGTGACTGAGGTTATGTCAGTTCAGGGGAAGCACAATAGCTGGGTGAAATGGCACATGCCTGTCATCTCTAGTAACATGGATAAGTAAAATAGTGGGATCACAGTCCACACTGGCCTTGTCATAACAATGAGAGATATTACTTGAAAGTAACTAAGGTAAATTGGGTGCCAATGGCTCATGCCTATAATCTTAGCTACTCAGGAAGCTGAGATCTGAGGAACATGGTTTGAAGCCCAAGCAAGAAAGTCTGTGAGATTCTTATCTCTAATTAACCACAAAATGCCAAAATGGAGACGTGGCTCAAGTGGTAGAGTGCTAGCCTTGAGCAAAAAAACTCAGGGAGAGTGCCCAGGTGCAGAGTTCATAACTGGAAAAACACTACAAAATCCCCAAGGCAAAAAAGGGCTGGAAGCATGACTCAAGTGGTAGAGCTCCTGCTTTGCAAGTACAAGGCCTGAATTTGAACCTCAGTATCCTGCCAGGTGCTGGTGGCTCACACTCATAAGCCTAGCTACTCATGAGGCTGAGATCTGAGGATCGAGGTTTAAAGCTAGCCCGGGCAGGAAAGTCCGTGAGACTTTTATCTCCAATTAACCATCAGAAAACTGGAAGTGGCGTTGTGGCTCAAGTGGTAGAGTGCTTGCCTTGAGCTGAAGAGCTGAGGGACAGCATTCAGGCTCACAGTTCAATTCCCACGACCAAAAAAAAAAAAACGACAAAAATAATAATAATACGTTTACCCAGACATAGTGGTGCAATCCTAGCATTTAGGAGACAGAGGCAGAAGGATCAAGAGTTTGAGGCCAGCCTGCGCTACACAGTGAGACAATTTAAAAAAATTAAGTACTGGGTGGGTTGGGGGGCTGGGAAGGTGGCTCAGTGGTAGAGCACTTGCCTTGCATGCATGAAGCCCTGGGTTTGATTCCTCAGCATCACATAAGCAGAAAAAAGCTGTAAGTGGCTCTGTGGCTCAAGTTGGTAGAGTGCTAGCCTTGAGCTGAAGAGCTGAGGCACGGCCCCTAGCCCCAGAGTTCAGGCCCACAACCAGCAAAAAAGAAAAAATAAATTAAGTGCTGGGGATGTAGCTCGGTGGTAAAGCACCTGCTTATCACACACAAGACTGGTTTCATTCATGAACCATCAGTACAACAAAAGAATGCATCTCGAAAATCCGACGACAGTGCCAATAACTGGCCATGTTTAGTCACACAATCAGCAATTTTATACTGTTCCACCTAAAATTATTCTCTTTTTTTTTTTGGGTCCGGTCATGGGGCCTGAACTCTGGGCCTGGGCGCTGTCCCTCAGCTCTTCAGCTCAAGGCTAGTGCTCTACCACTTGAACCACAGCGCCACTTGCGGCTTTTTTTCTTCTTGCTTATGTGGTGCTGGAGAATCGAACGCAGGGCCTCAGGCATGCAAGGCAAGCGCTCTACCACTGAGCCACCTTCCCAGCCCCCCTAAAATTATTCTCTTCCCTGCCAGTGGCACTAAAACCTATTTTTCTAGATACAAACCAGTACACTGAGTCAAACAGTGTTTATTGAATGTAAAGTAATCCCAGCCCCATGGGAAAGTGTTCCAAGAAGAACAGAATAATACAGATTAAATACCCACCTGCACATTCACACTCTTTCACTCAAACACACACACACACACATCACATACACAGCGAAACAAATCAAACCCCTGTGTCCTCCAGCCTGAGTGCTGGCTAGCAGGAGGTGACTCAGAGGCGGGGCTCCAGGATGGGTCCTAATAGCAGCAGACTTGTCCTTTCCCATCCCCTATCCTGCTCCAGAGGCCAAGGGGAGCTGGGTTGGACGTCTAGGAGGAAGTTGGCAACTCTTCCCCGCTCTGCCGCAGACGTTTCTTGGCTCGGATCTCATTCATGGCCTCTTCGATGGAGCGTGTGTCCCTCTTGTTGGCCACTGGCACTGGGGGGGGGGGGGGGGGGGGACACACAAAAGGGAGGGAGGGCAGGACCTCAGCTCCCCCTCCCCCATCCTATGCTCTCCTCCCCAAGTATCCCCCCCAACTGGCGCTCCCCAACCCCTGCCATGGCTCACCACAGCCATAGGTCTTGTTGGCTTGTAGCATGTGGGCTGCATCCTTGGCCGCTCCCTTGCCAATGAGATGGCTGTATTTGTCTTTGTAGTCACTGGCTGGGCTCACTTCCACAGGTCCCTGCAGAGCTGCCTCTTCCTCCTGCTGCTGGACCAGCTCCTAGGGTCACAGAAGTACAGTATTGGTACCCAGGGGCCTGATCCTGACCAAGGTGATGGTAGTGGCTCCAGGGATTGCCAGGTAAAGCTCACCTTCAGCTTCCGCTTCTCCTCAGCCTTCTGGGGGTCCCATTCCTCCCCATGACGGTAGGAGTCCAACTCTTCATCAGAGGGGGCAAACTCCTGGGGAAGAAGTGAATCAGGGGCCCATTATTTTTAAATGTTTAATCTTGTTTTGTGTGTGCTATTACTGGGACATGAATGCCTGGGCATTCTCCCTTAGCTTGTATGTATGTGCATGTGTATGTGCGAGTGCTGGTCTTGGGACTTGAACTCAGAGCTGTCTGTGAGCTTTTTTTTTTCTGGTCAGTCATGGAACTTGAACTTAGAGCCTGGGTGCTGTCCCTGAGCTTTTCTGCTCAAGGCTAGTGCTCTTACCACTTTAAGCCTCAGCTCCACTTCCAGTTTTTTTGGTAGTTATTTGGAGGTAAGTCTAATGGACTTTCCTGTCCACACTGGCTTGAACTCATCCTCAGCTCTCAGCCTCCTGAGTAGCTAGGATTACAGGCATGAACCACCAGAACCTGGTACCATGAGCTTTTTTGCTGAAGACTAGCGTTTTACCATTTGGGCCACAGCTCCACTTCTAGCTTTGTGGTGGTTAACTGTAGGTCTGAGTACCAGACTTTCCTGCCAGGGCTGGCTTTGAACCATGATCCTCAGCTTCCTGTGAAGCTAGGGTTACAGCGCCACCACTGCTCAGCTTTCACTTAGCTTTAACATTCAAGGTTGGCACTCTACCACTTTAAGCCACTCCTCCACTTCCAGCGTTTTGGTGGTTAACTGGAGATAAAGAGTTTCCTGGACTTTCCTGCCCAGGCTGGCTTTGAACCTTAATTCTTGGATCTCAGCTTTCAGATTAGTTTGGATTACAGGTGTGAGCCACTAGTGCCTAGCTAAGTGTTTAATCTTAACCATCTCCCATGGTGGAGGACAGACTGAAAAGGAAAGAGGAAAGTGAGGAACAGAGGCCTTTCACCTTTTTGAAGATCATGACATAGCGACAGTCATCGTCTTCCCCAAAGGAGAAGGATGTCAGGCCAGCAACTTCTACCACATCGTGTCTGGTAAGGAAGGCAGAAGAGAAAAAAATGTATTGGGTTATAAAGGGGCCCCGTCTCTTCTTGTGAGGGCTTCTCCGAATGGCCCTTTCATATCCCCAGCTGCCCACCTCTTGACTCCCCCAGCAAGAGACACTCACAGTATGCTCCTCTCTATCTTGTTCATAGGCTGAAACTTTTTCTTGATCTGCCCACTGTCTTGGATGAAATCTGACACCTCTTTCTCCATCTTGGAAGAAAGAAAGGAAAGAAGATGTGAGATGATGGTTCTGTACAATTATTCCTTTCCCCAACAGGACTAACAACCTGTCTATACCTCCCTACACTTTCTTCAGCTTCCAAATCACTGGCTCTTAGGTTGTATCTCTCTTGAAATATTAAAGGTTTTTTTTTTTGTTTGTTTTTTTCTGTGCCAATATTGGGGCTTGAATACAAAGCCTGAGCACTATCCTTCAGCTTTTTCACTCATGGCTGGTGTTTTACCACTTCAGCCACAGTTCTACTTCTGGCTTTTTAGTGGTTAATAGGAGGTAAGAGTCTACTAACTTTCCTGCCCTAGCTGGCTTTGAACCAGCTTGCTTGTGAGCCTCAGATCTTGGCCTCCTGAGTAGCTAGGATTACAGATGTAAGCCACTGGCACTCAGCAATTAAGACATTTTCAATACAACTGAGTCTTCAACCTTCTAACTCTAACTTATTGGAAGTCCTTCTAGAAGCTGCCTTTGATCTCTCCCGTTGTTCTCACCCTTTTACGAAATTCCACTTTCTGTTGTTTGTCTTGTTCTTGTAGTTTCTTCAGGCGGGCAGCCTGCTCTGGGGGTGAGAAATGGCAGCATTAGGCCTGGACTAGAAGCATGTGAGAATAGTTTGTTAGGCTTCAAAGGAAACATGCTGTCCATCAGGAGGAATCAGGCTGTGAAGATAGAATTACTGTTTATTAGCTGGGCGCCGGTGGCTCACGCCTGTAATCCTAGCAACTCAGGAGGCTGAGATGGGAGGATCACAGTTCAAAGCCATCCCAGGCAGGAAAGTCCATGAGACTCTTACCTCCAATAAACCACTCAGAAAACCGGAAGTGGCATTGATGCTCAAGTGGTAGAGAGCACTAGCCTCGAGCTGAAGAGCTGAGGGACAGCACCCAGGCCCAGAGTTCAAGCCCCCTACCCCCAACCCACCCCTACTAAAAAAGAATTACTGTTTATTTGTGAGGCATTTACTGATATTTATCACATGCTTGGTACTGGGGTAGGCCCTGAAGTACCAAGATGATTAAACATAGTTTTACGCTTCATGAGCTCAGTTTGATTAAGAGTGACAAAGATCATAATTATGCATAACCCTACTTAGCAACCCCACTGGGAAACCAATTAATATTTACCTAATCCTCATAACAGATGAAGAACTATAAGGCACATGGGGCAGTAAGGAGACTAAGCCTTTGGCCTGAGAATCATCATCTCCATCATTTCATTGTCTTCAGGGAAAGGAGAAACTATTTAGTTTCCTGTATTTTGTAATACCCTCCACTTCCTACTTCTACAACCAGAATGAAGCTGAAAGAAATGTTTTATCTCATATCCTTCTACTTTTGGGGGTGTAGGTGTCCAACCTTAGCTGGAAATAAATTCTCCACCTTGGAATCTTTATTCAACTCTCCTCTTCCCCTTTCTCAGATCCTGCCTCCTTGACATCAGATCACTCTGCCCCTGGAAAAAGTAGGGTTTTGTCTTTTTGTTTTGGTGCATGGGATTGCTTTTCCTCTTGCAAACACTGACAGTCACCGTGTGTCAGAGTTACTTCTTCCTCTAGTCCACAAGACTTCAGCTTAGCATATGCTAAGAACAAGCATACTGTTAACTTTTTGTTTCTCTCCCCTATCTGGCTATGAGCTTCTGAAGGCAGGAACCCTTGCTCATATCCAGTCTAGTTATCTTCCAGGGCCTCAGGAACTGACAGCCTAGAACCTTAGCATTTCCAATCTTGGCCAGTGATGATTTTCTAGTTAGTTTTCCAGTCTTCCTTGTGCCTGGAGAGGTGGCACAGGATGATGGCATAAAGTGGTTAAGAACATAGTGCTGAGTGGCTCACGCCTGTAATCCTAGCTACTCTGGAGGCTGAGATCTGAGGATCACGGTTCAAAGCCTGGGTTCAAAGCCAACCCAGACAGGAAAGTCCATGAGACTCTTATCTCCAATAAACCACTCAGAAAACGGGAAGTGGTGCTGATGCTCAAGTGATAGAGTACTAGCCTTGAGCTGAAGAGCTGAGGGACAGTGCCCAAGGCCCCGAGTTCAAGCTCCACAACCAAGAAAAAAAAAAAGAACACAGTGCTTAAAAGTCACACGTGGTGGAAGTGGCGCTTAAGTGGTAGAGCACTCACCTTGAGCTGGAGTGCAGGGACAGCGCCTAAGCCTAGTGTTCAAGCCCCACATCCGACCCAAAAAAAAAAAAAGTCACACGTGGGTATGAAACTGCCACTTACTAACCCTGTGAGACCGCACACAAGTGAGTGAACTGAACTTCCTAGTCAACTGCTTCTAGAGAGTCATTTGTACCCCCAAGTTAATTTCAACTTCCAGGTTACTGTAATTGTTCCCTCTTTCCTCAAGAGCTTTCAGATTCACTTCTCTGCCTATAATTTTTTGCTCCTCTTTCTCATTTACAGAATTATCTATTCTTCAGACCTCACTCACTGCAAATACATTTGGAGCACTTATTGTTATCAAACTTGTGTATTTCATCACTGAAGATCTCAGACTCAGGATGGTAGTCTCCTTCAGGGGCGACCCTTCCCCTAGCAAGCGTTCAGTAAATAAAGAGGTTATTTAGATAATCCAGCAACTCTTGAACACCTTTAAGGCATCCTGCCTGCCCTGACTCCCACAGGACTAGGATCTGGGTATCTCCACGGCAGGCATTCGGCTAGGCTTCTTCACTTGCCAAAGGAAACCTCCACCTTCCTGCCGGGTCGTACCCAACTCTGGCCGCCTTTCCCGAGCCCGCCCGGTGGGAAGCCACTCAAAAAAACACAGGCCGGGACCACAACCAATCATCCCGGCAGCATTCTCATCCCTCCAATAAACACCATGACCTGCTGAAGCAGCTTGGAAATGTAAGGCTAACATTGGGAAAAAGTACTGGTAGAGGCAGGCATAGGGACTGGGTCAAATCTAGAAGGGGCACAAAGACCCGGAAGACTCAAGCTACTAAATGGAGGTACAAGGGTGCTGGTCCAACACTTAGGAAATGATGCTTTAAGTTAAGAGAGCCAATAGCGACCTCAGGTGAAAAGATTGTGGGTGGGCGTGTCCCGGACCTGAGCAAGCAGCGGTAGGCGGGGCCTGAGCACACCGTTCTCCAATGGGAAGGCGGGACAAGCGGAGACGGACGGGCCCGGCAGCTAATGGCAAACAAGGACTACGGAAGGCTGCGCTAGGAGAGAAGAGGCAGGAGGCCGGAGCTGGGCTTCCGGCAGCCAATCACTGCCCGCCGAGGACGGCGGCCGGGCGAGCCGGCAGCTCTATTAGGGACGCGGAGGGTCTCCGTAGGGGCCTGTGAGGGGTCTTTCACGGCTCTGGAGGCGGCATCGTCCGAAGGGGGGTGCAACTGCGGTCCCAAGAACCGAGTGAAGAAAGGTGGTCGTGGATTTGGGGTCCTCACCTCGGGCCTTGCGTCGAGTCTCCTGGTCCCCGAGGCTGGGTGGCTTCTCCATGGAGCTCAGGATGGAGCCCAGTAGGTCCGCCATCTTGGAAGTGACTGAGAAGGGGCGGTGCGTCTTAAAGGGGAGGGGCAATTGCCTTTAAGACCGGAAACACGTCGGAGGCGGAAGACCACGCGCCGCCCTGCGCAGGCGGTGACCCCAGGCCGCGTTGGCGGGACCCCCTTACCCCCCCCCCTCCGCCCCCCCCCCCCCCCCCCCCCCCCGCTCCCAGCAGACAGGAGCCGGAGGCTGGCTGGTACAGCGACGTTTAATGGCAATTCGTATAAACCAAGCCCATGCACATGTAGAAAGTGCTCGTGGAGCCGGCCGGGCCCCTGCCGCGCGACCCTCCCGCGGCGTCTTAAATAGATTCTTCACTATACTCTGTATGTTACAGTATGTACAGGCCCCTGCCCTCGGGCGCAGGGCGGACTCCGCCGGGCGGTCCCACGGGCACCCCCGGCCGTTTGGCCCCGAGGGGGCGGCCGGAGTCGGACGGGGGAAGACCAGTCCAAGGAAGCAAACGGACGCAAACGTCCGGAGTCGGGGGGCGGCGGGTCAGCCTCACACTCGAGGGCGCGCCCGGCGCGGGCCGCGGTGGGGCCGAGGCGGATACATTCAGTGACGCTTCCAACAAATAAATAAGGCAAGTCAGGAAGGGCCGCGGCCGGGCGGGCGGGCGGGCGGGCGGGCGGGCGGGCGGGCGGGCAGGCAGGCAGGGCTCCGTGGGTCGCAGCGGAAGATGCAGGTCTGTGGGGCGTGGCTCTCGGGAGCCTGGGACCAAAAGAGGCGCGGCCAGGAGGGAGGGGTGGGCGCCGCGCGGGGGTGGGGGCCAAGGGCGCCAACCAAAATGTAGGGGGAAAAGCTGCCGACAGGGGCTCCTCCTGCCTCTCCAGGTTAAGACTGCCAGAGGTGTCCCCCCCCCCCCCCCCCGATGGCGAGGTCAGGTGGCCAGGCCTGGCTGGGGAAGCCCTTCCAGCTCCTGGTTCTGCTTCAATTCCCGCATCCTGCGGAGACAGGGGAAGGAGTCAGCGGGGGCTGGCAGGGGGTGCGCAGAGGCGGCGTGGAGGAAGGAACGAGTGACCTACCGGTGTCGGCAGCGCCTCAGGAATCTCATGATCTTCCTGGCTGCCTGGTCCTGCTTCTTAGTGAGAAAGGAGCCTCTGGTGGCAGAAAGAAGAGATAGGGATAGGTCCTAGAACCTAGGGCCTTCGTGTCCTCAGTCCCTTAGGAACCCAGTGGGGAGAGGGGCACGGTAAGCAGGGGGCTGCAGGGCTGGAGCCTCACTTGTTGCGGGCTGGCAGGGGGCCTGAAGGCCTGTGAGGGCCCGGCCGGCGGCGGTAGGAGCGGTAGTGCTGCTGGATGAGCACCGCGGCTCTCCGACTCTGCTGAAATCGCTTCTGTTCATAGTAGCTTCGGAATTTGCTCTGGATCAGTATGGCTGCTTGGGTCATCTTCTTATAGAGTGCAAACTGCAGGGAAGGGGAGAAGGGACAAGGGCTGAAATGGAAAGAGCCCTCAACCCTTGAGGGTCTACCCCAAGTTAAGCTGATACAGATCTCTAACTCAGACACTTCTGGAAAAGCAGAATCATCACACCTCACACCCAGATCTCAAGGCTAATACCTTAAGTGCAATCCAGGTCAGCTTGTGGAGAGAGAAGGGAAGTTAGGGCTCAGAGCACCTGGTTCTCTAGACTGGAGTGTATGTGTTGGTGGCAAGCTTCTGAGAGAAGGATCTTACCTGCTTGTACTTCCGGTAACAGCGTTGTATCACAGCTGCTGCTACCTCCTGCTGCTCCTTCAGCCTCCGCCCCTGAGGGAAGGGAAGAGGAGGTCTCAGCATTTTATTACACACCTAACAGACACTGAACCTGACTTCTTGCTCTCCTGGGGCTCCTTGACTGACTCCATCTGAGGCCTATCTGGTCACTGCTCTTCTCTAGAAGCCCCCTGGCCACCTGACCTTGTACTTCCGGAAAGCTGTCTGGATGACCCGGGCTGCCTCATACAGTTCCCGTTGCTCGTGATCTGAGAGTGTCAGCAGGGCAAAGTCACTTTCCATCTTGCCACTGGTAGATGCAGAGAGGAATTCTGCCCAGGAAGGTGCTGGAGGCATAGTCAGGCGACCTCGCTCAAAGGATAATTCACTGTGGAGGACAGGGAGATGGGAAGTCAAGGGGCATCTTTAGTCCCTCTTGTCCCACAGAGGTAGCTAAGACCTCCAGTAACAGTCTGGAAAGTGGCTTCACAGTTTACAAGCCAGGCCAAGCCCCTTCTCAAAAGCCCGGGGAACTCAGCCAGAATGAAGTGTTGGCTATAGGTTAGCCCGCTTCCTCCCTCCCTTCTTCCTTTGAAGATGAAATCTGGAGGCTTGGTCCTGAACTGGTCACCTGGGAGGGGCTGAGCTAGGGAAATGGTCCACATTCTCCAGGTAGCTGGCCAGCCAGGACATGGTCTCACTAAGGCCCACTGCGCCTGTTCGCTCCCGCATTGAGGTTCCAGCCTCAGGAAGCCCCACGAAGTCTTCTCGTTTAATCCGCTCTGGTGTGGCTTCAATGATCTGCTTGGCCAGTGAGATCATGTCCACCTGGATGGAAAGGGAAGCTGTGTAAGCCCTGCAAGGGCCTAACTGCCAAATGTTCCTGTCCTGAGTGGCGGCTCACCACCAAACAAGCCTCAGAGATCACACTCTAGCTCCTTCTTGGTTATAGTTCCAGATTCATTCATTCTTGCTGGCTCCCTCTAGGGGATATAGCCCTCTGTACTATGACGTTGCAAAGAACATAGAATAAGGACAAGTTGGATCGAGCTTATAATCCTAGCTACTTGGGAGAATGGGAGGTCAGCTGAGGCAAAAAGTTCCTGAAACTCCCATCTCAACCAACAGAAAGCTGAATGTGAGCCAGGTACCCAGTAATTATACATGTAATCCTAGGAGGACTACACCTGGAGGAAGCTGAGATCTAGAGGATCAAGGTACAAAGCCTGAACAGAAAAGTTCATTAGATTTCCATCTCCAAAACCAATAAAGGGTAGAGATAGGCTAAGGAAAGATAGGGGAGAATGATGGGTGACATTGATCAAGATGCATTGTAGGGGCTGGGAAGGTGGCTCAGTGGTAGAGCGCTTGCCTTGCATGCATGAGGCCCTGGGTTCAATTCCTCAGCACCACATAAAAAGCTGGAAGTGGTACTGTGGCTCAAGTGGTAGAGCACTAGCTCTGAGCCGAAGAGCTGAAGGGCAGCACCCAGGCCCAGAGTTCAGGCCCCATGACTGACAAAAAAAACCACATTGTGGGGCTGGGAAAGTGGCTCAGTGGTAGAGTGCTTGCCTTGCATGCATGAGGCTCTGGGTTCGATTCCTCAGCACTACATAAACAGAAAACGATGGAAGTGGCACTGTGGCTCAAGTAGTAGAGCTCTATCCTTGAGCTGAAGAGCTGAAGGACAGCGCCCAGGCCCAGAGTTCAGCCCCCATGACCGGCAAAAAAACAAAACAAAACAAAAAACCCATATTGTATTCATAACCTGACTTCTGGAATTGAAACCCCTTTGTATAACTACTTAATAAAAAATGAATAGCTGAGCACTGGTGGCTCACACCTGTAATCCTAGCTACTCAGGAGGCTGAGATCTGAGGATCGGGCTTCAAAGGCAGCCCGAGAAGGGAAGTCTGTGAGACTCTTATCTCCAATAAACCACTCAGAAAACTGGAAGTGGCGCTGTGGCTCAAGTGGTAGAGTGCTTGCCTTGAGCTGAAGAGTGCAGGACAGCACCCAGGACCAGAGTTCAAGCCCCATTACCAACCAAAAAAAAAAAGAAAAGAAAATAGGAGGCCAGCTTGGACATGGATGCAAGACCCTGTTTGAAAAATAACTAAAGCAAAAAGGGCTGGTAAACCCCTTTTATGCTTGCCTGATAAGCACAAGGCCTTGAGTTCAAACCCAGTACTGCCAAAAAGAAACATATAACCCATATGAGGATCCAAGGGCTGAGCAAACAGGCTTACTATTATCACTGCCTCACCAAGGCCTGTCCCACAACAGCCAACCAGCACCTCTTCCCCACAAGTCTTATAAAGCAGGTCAATCTACTACCTTCAGCTCTCCAAGAACTAGCCCAAGGCCTGCTGACCACATGACACCCTGGCAAATGGCTCTGACCTTTGTTCTAGCCCCAAGGCCTCTAGCACTTCCTGCTGGCCACATTCCATGCAGCTTGCTTCCTGTTCTCTCTTTAATTTTTTAAATTTAGATTGCTTTCTAATTACTCATTGGCCTCTAAAGCTGATTATGTCTAGCACTTAGCTATTCATTCATTCTGTAAGACTTCCTGAGCTTTTGCCACATGCAAGCTTCCTTCTTACCTCAGATCTTAGCCCACTATCTCCATCTTGTCAGCCCTGGTGCTTATATACTTGCCCTCCATTCCCCTGGTTCCTCAATAACTTTTTCTCTGTGTGGATCAACAGGTAACTCCTATAATCTAGCTCTAAGTGAATATATTCCTCAGAATTCTTAACCTCTGCTGCCTCAAGACTATCATGTCACCAGGTCTGAAAGAAGCTAAGCAAAGAGGTACCTTGCTTGTCCCCATGTGGTAAATGGGCCTTTTTCCCAAGCTGAAGCCACACTCTGATTCTGCTCATAGAGTATCTGCCTAGCCTAACCTATCCTAATGACTGGCCCCCATGATTCTATCAGCAGAAGCAGTACCGGGATCACATCCACAGCTGATGGGCTGTCGGCATCCTCTGGAGCAGCCCCATCATCTGGGCCTGGTAGGAAGGCAGGAGGGGAAGGTGAGGACCCTTTGGGGTTGGTGGCCTCATAATCCATAAGTAGGGGGGTTTCTGGTGCACCAGAGGAGAGTGGGCCTGAGACCATCTCCTCCATAGTAATTTCAGAGGCTGGTGGAGGAGCAGTGGGAGGACTCCCATCTGGAGCACTAGAATAGGCTGATGTGATGGAGAAAGTGCCGTCCGACAGCTCTGAGGGCGAAGAAACACTGCTGAGACCTGTGAGGCAAGGGAGGAAGGTGAGGCAGTAGGAGCAACAGGCCATCCTCAAGTCTTCTACCCTCATCCTTCATCTCAGTCTCCCTGGTTGTTCTTGCTCCTGTTATCTTCCTAT